GGCAAAAGGTACAGGCCTAGTACACACTGCTCCAGCCCATGGGATTGACGATTACAGTGTTGCGTCTCATCACAAGTTACCAGTAGTAAGTAATTAGTGCATGTAAAACATTGTTGCGTTAGGTTTTGTAGCAGGCTCTGCCTTGTAAGGCCTTCCAAAATTTTTTCATTTTTTTGCTAATTCAGAACTAGCAACTAGAACTAGAGCAGTTGATAATATTTAATTTGCACCTGTGATGCGCAACATAACTTCGTGCCACTTTTAACAACATTTTAAAAAATAAATAAAATATATAAATATATATATATTGTCTTTGCTATTATGCTAATCTCTTTTGTGAGTGATTACTTTGTTTTCCTTTTGCCAAGTGTAAAAACACCATTTGTATACTGATGTATTTAGCAGGTACACTTTAATATGTTCACCTTCATTGGTACATTATTTTTACAGTCATAATTTATTTTTCCAACTCCTGCTAATTCTGCGGAGCTGCCTTATTCTCGTTGCTTTTCATAAAACATAACAAAACAAATCAAGGCTAATATCTTATTGAAATCTGAGGTGTGTAGGTTGTAAACAGTTAAGAGAATAATTTAAATAATGGCCCTTTAATAAACATACTGTACATTGTGATCGTGTACCCTCACAGGGTATTAGATTCTTAAAAGTAGTGTTGTCCTCCAGGCCGGGTAGTGATTAACTACAATCTGGGAGTCACAAAGCAGTTTTATTTTCTTCAGTAATCACAGTCCATTATTATGTGCGGTTCATCTGAGTACTAACTAATGAGCAAAACATTCCTTTCCTTCTCCAGGTTAAAGTAACAAATACAGGCTTCACCACTCCCTAGATTTTTTTCCACATTTTGGTCTTCTTCTTTAGGCTTTGCTGCACCGTTAACATTCTGCTTCCTGCAACAGTCTATCTCTCTCTTCTGTTGCCAACCAATGAGTAATTTATTTAAAGGGACACTGTAGTCCCCAGAACATTAGCTTAATGAAGCAGTTTTGGGTTTTGTATATTTCATATATCTGCAGTCATTGCTCACTTATTTGCCATTTAGGAGTTAAATCACTCTGTTTATACAGCCCTAGTCACACCTCCCTGCATATGACTTGCACAGTTTTCCTTAAAGGGACACTCCAGGCACGCAGACCACTTCTGCCCATTGGAGTGGTCTGGGTGGCAACTCCCACTACCCTTAACCCTTTATAAACTTTATAAACTGCAATAATTACCTTGCAGGGTTAACTCCTCCTCTAGTGGCTGTCTACTAGACAGCCACTAGAGGGCACTTCCATGTCTATAGCACAGGTTTTCTGTGCTAGAGCGTCGCTGGACGTCCTCACGCTATGTAAGGACCTCCAGCATCGCTCAATTCCCCATAGGAAAGCATTGAAAAGCATTTTCAATGCTTTCCTATGGAGAGCTCTAATGCCGCGCATGCGCATTAGGTCTCCTCAGCCGGCGGGCGGGATCAGTCTCGCTGACGTAAGGAAGAGGAGGAGCGGCTGCGACCCGAAACCACCGCCGAGGGACGGCGGTCTCAGGTAAGTGACTGAAGGGGTTTTCACCCCTTCAGCAACCGGGATGGGGGGTGGGAGGGAGAGGGGACCTGCAGTGCCAGGAAAACTGATTGTTTTCCTGGCACTGGAGTGTCCCTTTAACCTTTCCTCTAAATAGAGATCTAATGTTTATACTTCCTTTATTGCAAATTCAGTTTAAAAAACAATATAGGGTCAGGAACACAAACGTGTATTCCTGGCCCTTTTTTGTGTTAAAAACACTATTTAGCCCCTCTTGCCCTTCTTAAATATAGTAATAACTCACCTTATTTCCATAGAAAAGCATTGGATTGGCTGATATCGTCATTTCTGATGATCTCAGCCAAGGAAACGGGCCGGGTGTGGAGCCAAACGCTGCCCTGGCCAATCAACATCACCTCATCGAGATACATTGAATGAATGCAACTCTATGGAGAAAGTTCAGCGTTTCCATGCAGAGCGTGGTGGAGCTGAACGTCGGCACTGCAAAGTGTGCAGCACTAACCCAGGAAGCCCCTCTAGTGGCCCTCTAGAGGAGTGGCTACTAGAGTTGTTCCTACACTGTAATGTGGACCCTGCCTTTTCTCTAAACAGGCAGTGTTTTAAAGCAAAAGGCCTGCAGGGACTGATGATACCCAACAGAACAACTACAATAAGCTGTAGTTGTTCTGGACTATAGTGTCCCTTTAAGTTTCTTAAATCCTGCTCTGTTAATAGTTTGCTAGACCCTGCAGGAGCCTCCTGTATGTGAGAAAAGTTCAATTTACAGAGCAGGAGGTGAAAACTTTTAAAGTAAGTTACAACTGATTGCAAATGGAACCATTTTGTTTTCATGCAGGCTGTGTTGGTCACAGCCAGGGGAGGTGGGACTAGGGCTGCATAAACAGAAACAAAAGGGATTTAACTCCTAAATGGCAGAGAATTGAGCAGTGAGACTGCAGCGGCATGATCTATATAGGAAAACTGCTTCATTAAGCTGAAGTTGTTTTGGTGACTATAGTGTCCCTTTAAGGTTGCTGTTTATACTCTATTGCAGCTAAATAAAGTTTGAAGTCAATTTGAACTCCTGACCTTGATTCTTCCTCTTTGTTTTGTGGTTATTTAAAAGCAGCAGGGTAGATATCATATCCCTCTCAAAAATAGAAGTGAAACCTCCAGCATTAAGATGAGGTTATCTCAATACACAGAATAAACAAAGAAAAGTGGGGGCATGACAGCCAGAGTGGGTCACACCTAAGATGTATATATTTTTCTGGTAGACCAGTATTACGTTTAGCAGTGTTATGTTTAAAAAAACAAAAAAAAACAAGGTTGTTTAGATGAGACCCATTACCACAACTAGTAAAGAAGGGACCAATGTGTACTGTCGATGGCGTTGTATATTTATTTTCTGTTACCAATTACTGTCTGGAGATATAACAATAATGTACAACTGAAGTTATATACTGTGTATGCTAAGATTCGCATTGAGTCCGAAAATATACTAGAAATGTATCTGTCATTTATGTCAACAAAAATAAAGAATTAAAAAAAAAAAAAAATAGAAGTGAAAAATAAATACTGTCACGAATAAATCAAGTATTTAATATTTACAGTATGTTTGTGTTCTTCATTTGCATTACTGTAAGGGTGCATATAATTAGAGATCATAAAGCGTCCCTTGTCTTGCATTCCTTCTGATGCAGGTTAGGTAGATTACAATGGAGGGTATCATATAAATAAAAATAAAGAAGGTGAAAAGATAACATTTAAATGCCTGTTTATGGTTATGTAAGGAATTTTCTGGCATGTTGGTGACTGCAGATTCCCAAAATGCAAGCATAATTCCTAATTGTGGGCATAATACACAGTGAATATTTTTGCCTGGCTAAAACCATGAATATACTTTTATCCTTGAGTCTTTATAAACATTGCCTTTTGTCTTGATTAAGGACTGTTTGGTGGATGAAACAGGACGGTTCACTGTTGGAGCAGGAAATGAGCTAGAGAACAAAGCTGTGCTCGGTGATGGAAATGAGACTGGTATGTATTGGTCCTAACCACCTAGCTTGCAGCAAATGGTTTAGAATTAGAACTTCCTACCAAAGACACTATGTAATCCTTTCATTTGTAAAGGATGGGCTAAAAAGAAAGATAGTGTGACCAATCCCCTCTTTTGAGCTGTAATTTATGTCTCAAATCACTATCATTAACTGCTGCAGTACTGACTGTCACCATTTGCGTACAGTTTGAATATTCGATAACCGTAAATATTTGTGTACTGTATAGATTTAGTATATCTATCTGTGTGATTTCCGTTAGTATCCTATGCAGTGTGTGTATAATCCAGTGTCATGCAATGTATCATATGTGATAGATATATATATATATATATATATATATATATATATATACACACTCTAAACATTGAAGTATGGTGTATTTTACGGTACAGTTTCAAAATGAATATCACAATAGCCTTATTGGGAATTAATCTTGATTGGAGAGTTTTTATGAACTCTGTTATTTTGGCTTGAAATTTGTTTTTTCAATTGATTATTTAGTGAATTGGCTCAGTGGGTTTGATTATACTAGTTTGTTGTAACCGGACTTGTAACTGAAAAGCCATGTTGTTTTCTACTCTTAGTCATAAAGATGTTAAATGGCTCCAAAAATCTGTTGAAAGAGGAGGAATTTGTACACAGTTACCCGTATGACTGGAGAACCAAGAAACCTGTGATCATTCGAGCCAGCAAGCAATGGTTTGTCAATACAGCAAACATTAAAGACAAAGCACAGGTAAAGGACAAGTCTACAGTATGAGTTTTAGATGTTATGCACTACACAGTGTCTTGGCAGTTCCAAGATGTCTGACCTTGAGATGTGTGCCTTAAAGCAGAACTATCACCATTTGGGGACTTTGCCGAATTTGCAAAGTCCCCCGACAGTGACATCGCCACTGGTTGTCTGGTGGCCCAGGGGGGCAGGTAAAGGTGAGTTTACTTACCTGAACCTGTCCCTTGCGGGTGCTGCTATCTTGATCCTCAGCACAGACGTCACTATTGTACTCTTACACATGTGCCAGAGTACAGCAATGAGGTCTATGGAGGATCCCACGAGACAGCAGGATCCATGGACACAGCCAGTTCCCTGCAGCCGTCACTGGTGTTTATAATATTTATTATATATATTTTTGTCAAGTCTTCTCTTGGGCAAATTAGGTGACTCAATTGTTATGAGACCACAAGATGTATTTATATATTTATACATAAGAAAATGTTATCTCAGTTATCCTATTTCTAATTGCTAATGACCAGAACGGTTAAGTCAAAATAGAAATCAAAATGACAGAAACTTGATGTGGTTCCGTGCTGAAAGAAACTGCCTTTTTAAAAAAAAAAAAAAACATTCTCTCTAAACAGAAAGAAATTGCATTCTCTTACGGCAGCAATAATTTGGCTTTGTGGAGTAGTACTCTGTGCCCATCAATGCTAGTCTGGCCTGTAATGTGCCCTTATTATACTGATCTTGCCATGAATTTTCAATTTATAGATGTTTAAAAAAAAAAATTTTTTTTACCACTTTACTATTTTCTTTGTGAATTTTGATTGTCTGAAAGCACACTAAGTTGCTCTCTGTCAAATGCATCGGTTCTTGCTATGTCTTATGTCCATTTTGTTAAAACATCGCTGTTTGTTTATAGTAGTTGTGGCCTTTAACTCTTCCTATAGAAATGGATGATTAGCTCAATGCAGACCCATACAAAACCCTTTAATGTGTCAATAGTTACCTAAAGGACATTGTGTTTGTCATTTGCCACGCTGTGAATTTTTACTGACGAAGCTCAATATTGCATTCATGTGCTGTTGCAGGAGGCTCTGAAAAAGGTGAAATTTGTTCCTGCGTCTGCTGCCAACAGAATATTAGAGATGCTAGATCGTCGAACATATTGGTGTATATCAAGGCAAAGGAGCTGGGGTGTCCCTATCCCGGCATTTTACCATAAGGAGACTGGAGAGCCACTGATTAACAGGTAGACTATTTAACATTGCAGTCTGTTTGAAATGACAGGACATTGATTTGCACATTTGTAAGCTAGTTATCTATCAGAATTAATGACAAACACAGCAGATTAAATGAGTAGTGCATCAAATACAGATTGCTTTGTTCACCAGGCATCTGCATTGTGTTGATGAGCAACAAAATGCAAACAGAAGACGCAAATATGGCCCCCTGGTGTTCTCTGACACCTGTTCAGGAGCTTTGAGTCTTCTTAGAGTAAAGAGAGTGAGGCAAGTATCCCACTATTGTCACAGGGCAAGAAGGAATTGCCATTAATGACCTGCTCCCAAAATCACCCTCTCCTCTTGCAGCCAGACTATGCTTGCAATCATGTTTTCTAGCAGTAGGAGGCAACAAAGATCACATTCAAAGAATTGTGTATTGAACAAGTTAATCACTACTGTGAAATAGTATAGTTAATGTCCCATCACATACTCTACACTAAACTACATCGCTGATTTCCTACTTGTATTTGTCCATGTCTAACTGTTTCCTGCATTCAAACTTGTTATGCATGTAGCACACTTGCCTACACCTGGCTCCTGAGGTTTTCCAACCTTTGCATATAGCTGCTGGAGCACAGCTTGTTTTTTTGTATTTGGACTTTATTTGTCTTTAAGTAAAGTAAGAAAGTCATGCTTGTGATTAATTATGTCTAGAAATATACAAACCCGGGAAATAAAGTACATTAAAGAGACTTCATGCTGTACAGCATGGTGCCAAACATGGAAATCCACACTTCAAAGGTCTTCTATAAGGCAGTACTTCTTATGGCCTGCAGTGTGACAGTCACTTCAGGCGTGTTTTCTGACAAAGGTATACATTGCCGTTTTTCAGGGTACCCTATGTACCAAAACCACTTTGTTAAGAGAAAGTGGTTTTCATGCTCAGAATGTCCATATAAACGATAAAAGTGAGATTTAGGGCTCTTTTTTTGAACTAATAATAGAAAAAATGTTGCTGAACAACATCAGAATGATGTGATTGTCATTGCATCAACATGAATAATGGCTTATCCCAGCTTTACATGTCAATAGTCATCTAACAAAATATTGTGATCGACCTTAATGATCTCCTGTGAGTGTTTAGCCAGTTCCATGATCACTGAGTGGCTCCCAGCACACTCTAGGTGTTTGCAATAAAATACCTGTTAAGATCAGTGGATTCTTCTTTGGTGTCAATTTGTTGGAATCAAGTCGATTCTGAGCAGCTAAGGGCAATTAAAATACAATTACTGAATTTAAACATTTCTAGTGAAAACTCGATTCTTAAAGGACCACTATGGTGCCAGGAAAACACTAATTTTCCTGGCACTTTAGTGCCCTGAGGGTGCCCCCTCCCGCCGGGCTTTAGGGTGAGGAAGGGGTTAAACTTACCTCTTTCTCCAGCGCCGGGCGGGGAGCTCTCCTCCTCCTCTCCGCCTCCTCGGCTGAATGCGCATGCGCGGCAAGAGGCGCGCACATTCAGCCAGTCTCATAGGAAAGCATTCGCAATGCTTTCCTATGAACACTGGCGTCTTCTCACTGTGAAAATCACAGTGAGAAGCACGCAAGCGCCTCTAGCAGCTGTCAATGAGATTCAGAGAAACTGCTATGTTTATAGAAAAAAGCGTTAACCCTAGCTGGACCTGGCACCCAGACCACTTCATTAAGCTGAAGTGGTCTGGGTACCTATAGTGGTTCTTTAATCAAATGATACTCCAAGAGCAGCATTTGAATGGCGCAGCACGGCAAGTTGTCATGTATGTGCACTAACCTCCCAATGCTTCTCTATGGTGAAGTATTGCTTTGGCTGATGTAATCAGAATTGATAATCTCAGCCAATGAGACTTTGTGACCACGGAGAGAGCAGCGTGGTGATGAAGAAAAGGTAAGCAAATGTACATTTTCATGCACTCAGTGGGGTTGGGGAGGGGGGGGGGTGACCTAAACAGCTAAAGGACAGTATAAAAATGTTTGTATTTGTAACGTCATAGTGTTCCTTTAAATATTGAATCAATAGAGTTGCTGGAAAAAGGGTTAACTGCTAAGCTTCTGAATGTTATAGTCTAAGACTACAATCATTCCCTTAAAGGAGCACTATAGTGCCAGGAAAACAAACTCACACTGTTAGGGTCATTAGGTCCCCTCAGGGAACCCATCCCGCTGGGCTGAATGGGTTAAAACCTCTTCAGCCACTTACCTTTCTCTAGCGCCGGGCTCCCTCTGTGCTGAGGAACTCTCCACCCCCTGCCAATGTCAGATCCGAATGTGCATGCGCAGCTAGAGCCGAGCGCGCATTCAAACAGCCCATATGAAAGCATTACTCAATGCTTTCCTATGGACATCCAGCGTCTTCTCACTGTGATTTTCACAGTGAGAATCGCGGAAGCGCCTCTAGCGGCTATCACTGAGACAGCCACTAGAGGCTGGATTAACCTTCAGTGAACCATAGCAGTTTCTCTGAAACTGCTATGTTTTCAGCTGCAGGGTTAAAAACTAGAGGGACCTGGCACCCAGACCACTTCATTGAGCTGAAGTGGTCTGGGTGTGTATAGTGGTCCTTTAAAATTCTAATTTTGTTAATTTGAAGATGCAATATCCTGGACTGCATCAAGTATGGACGTGACTATTATTTGTTTGTAATGGATGTGTGTAATTTCTGGTGCACATTGTACATGCTTGCATTTTACACTCGGAGGTGCCTGCAGTCTTATTGTTTAATCACCCCAGTTTCACAGGAGCAGTCAGATGCTGTTTGTCATTGTGTATCCAGCTAAACAAAAATCATCCATTTTGTGATGTTGTTTCTGAGGCCATCAGAGCCAATCATGAATTCACCAAGTTTTACCCACGTTGTAATTAGTAGATTATGCTATCTATACGCCTGCCATTTGGCATTGCTAAATGTATTGAGCAGGGTCCCCATAGTATCGACATTGTTCAACCATCTAATATTAAAACAGGGTTAAAGTGATTTATCACTAGAATGATGGCTTGGTTTGTACCCCCACAAGGATCAATGACTTTTCATGCCATCCTCACAATGTATTCCTTTAAGCACTCATTGATGGAGCATCAGCTGCTGTATAGATCCAAGTTACCAGGATACGATTGGTAAATGCCAATTTGGAAGATTGCTGTGGTGGCTCTGTGTGAGTTGTATAACAATCCATAGTTAGTGGTCTGTTAGAGGTTAAACAACTTCCCATATAACAAAGCAATTCATCTATTTTTGTTGTTGTTGACTCCCCATCTCCAAAAGTTTGTTAGAAAAGTATTTTTGTGAATTCAAGGAAGTACTGATGTAATTGAGGAACATAAAGAATTAAGCTTCAAATTGATTTACACAGCAAGATATGAAGTTTATAGGTAAATCAATTTTACAGTAAAATGTGGCTGTGCATGTGACTTGTATATCTACCAACAAATGCACTTGTGCACAAATGCACTTTTAATGAGCGTATTTTTATATGTTGTATATGAACTGGTAAAGGGGGAGGGGAAGCCTTGCATTAAGGCGGCATCATCGAAAAACATTTTAATAAACACAATAGACGTGTGTGCCATGTAATATGTAAATAACTGTAATATTTTATTATATAGAAAGTGTTTTATCACATGCAGTCACAACAAGCAAAAAATGCATCATAAATATGTGCTCTGATTCCCCCCCCCTCCCCCCCCCATAAATATTTTACATTAAGTAAAACTTTGGAGGCAGGACAATGTGCCAAAACTTAAACAAAATAAAAAATTTAAATAGGGGCGGAGGGGACGAAAAAATCGTTTTGTGTTACATGCTCTGTAAAAAGTTAACAACTCCAAGTAACAAGTAATCGTTTAATTCCCTGTCATATAGATCTTATATGTTCTGACTTTTAATCTATTCTAATTAAACGTTTCATGCTTCTCCTCTTTGATAATAAGACATATAATATCAAACCAAGCTGCTACATACTCTTACGTTTCAGATATTTGAGTACAGGGTTGTACTCCTGTTTGGACACACATTCCCTGTGTTAGCTGTTTTTGGGTATATGTCCATTTACGCCTTGTAAAGGGACACACATAACAATATGACGTGTAGTTTAACATTTCTTTTGCTATTTGTTAGTGGTAATGTTGCCTGATTCCATGTGAATATGAATTTAACTACTTCACCTCAAAGTTATTTGCAAACAAATGAGTCTTAATTTTTGTTTTTGTGTCTTTATTTTTCATATCTGTAAACATAAAGAGCACATTATTTTGAAGCAAAATGGCAACTTTGTTTCCCAGTTTACAGAAAGTAAAAAAACAACAACTTTGCATTACAAAATAATAGAGGTAAAAATTAGAATAACATTTGATATAAAAGTTATTATGGTTGTAAATGTGTATACAAGGTGTTGGCATATAAATGCATAGCTTCGACACCCCTGCCTAGGTCAGGTAGCTTTGAGAAAAGTTATTCGGGTAGCATAGCCAAAACATTGGTAAGAGGCTTGCAAAAATACATGCTGCATGGCAGCCTATGAATAAATATATAGTACTACACAGTTATGATATATAAAGCATCCACCATATTCACTGTCTTGGAACTCTATCATAATTTGCCCAAGAGAATTAAAAAAGAAAAAAAACAAACCCTTTGGTTAACACACAACATATCAATGAAGAATCAGCAAATCTTCCAATAACAGGAAATAATTAAACAGAATAATGACACTGGAAATTTGGTGTGTAAATAAATCAAATTCATCCTACTAAAAAATATATATATATTTTCAATTAACACTGTGTGTACATATGGGAAACGTTTGTTGATGAAAGGTTACATTTAGGGCTCTAATTTCCTACAAGTCAAGTCGATGGTGACAGTTAAATGTATCTAGTTCTAAAACAAATATTTTACTGTCTGATATTTAGTAAAATTTCCCTTAATATTTTTTTTCTTAAATCTGCAACTTCTTTTTCTTAAATCTATACATTTCTATATTCCAAACATACCGGTATGTAAATATCTGTATCTATATAACATTTGCACTCTCATTACTTTTACACTGAATGTCTTCTTTCTGATGATTTTTGAGATGATCAGAATATTGGCCTACAGAAATGACAGACACATATTAAGAATTAGTTGGCTGTCAATTCATAGGTCATCTTCCTGGTCACCAGTAAAGTAGTCCGAGGAACGTGATGCTTTTCATTAGTTGTAAAATAATCATTCTGTAAGGGTAGTTGAGTAGTGAGGTTCCTGAAGATGGCAACTTACAGAAATGTCTGTCCCCAGCTTGCTCTTTTTCGAAGGCCAGCACGTGCCCATCAAAAGTAACAGCATCTCCACTGGAGTACTGAGCAGTCCACATGGAGATGCTGTTACACCTGATACACACTAAATGGTTTTCTTTGTCCTGCTGTCCTCTGTGAGATCCTGCCTGGAGACCGTGTTCTTGATGTAGTCTCGGACATCCTTTGACGTGTAGCAGAAGTGGCCCAACTGGAAACGAAAGCATTCAGAAATCATTATGTTGGACTGTACTCCCTAAACTCCTGACATTTTGCAAAGTCACTTTCTAATCACGCCCACTGAGAGCAGTGCTGATGGACTAATTAAAACAGATAGTTTAGCAACCGCACCCTCCCCATGTGAGGAATCGTCCATTGGCTTAATACCCACCTTTTGCGATATTGCTGCTTGCTTCAAAGGCTGAACGGTTTAAATGAATGAGAAGAATGTTTTGCTGAAATGAATGTCATAGCACCTTTGAGGGAAGACTGTCTTGTGAGCTGTATAACAAACCCCGAGCTTCCTGAATCTGCTTGTGAAACCCAAAACCACAAGACGTATCAGAAGCCTGTAACCCTTTCAGTGTTTCATGAACAGTGCAATATAGCAACCCCAGCAATGTTACCAACTCTCTTACCAGATCATACGTAACTTTGTATTGAGCTATAACTTCAATGCTTTAAAATGAAAACATACATTCATTACAAATTAAGTTGTTCTGCAGAAATAAAGCACTTTTGGGGGGAAAGTTCTCACAGTGGAACATTCAGCAGAAATATTCCATTGGTTTCCATAGTGATTGCTCTACTTTTGGAACTTTGCCCCAGAATTGCTTTTTTTTTCATAAACCCTCTGCTCAAAACAGACAGCTTAGTTTGTCCCATTATTACATGCTTGTTTCTGTCTCCCTTTCTCTGTCTTTCTGTCTCTAGGTTCTTTGTTTCTGAGCAGGGTGAGTGCCATTAAATGCCCTCTGCCTCCCCCCTCTGAAATTGAAATTAAATCAGTCCCTATCAGCATGCAGTTCTGCTGTTCAATCACCCTAGGATGAGGCTTGCACCCTGGTTTTGTTACAAGTAGCCAGCCCTACCCAGTAAACTGCCTACCTTGTGTCTCTGCAGAAAGCACAATGACAAGCAGTCTTGTTTCACTTACAATTACTGGAATCCAGGAAAGAACGAAAGAATGAAGACCAGGAACTGCTTTCTCTTTTATTTATTTTTCTTCTTCGTTTCTTAGCAGTCGTTTAACTCTGCCTCCAGATGACTCCCTAAATAGGAATGTGCCACAATCAATATCTCAGTGATTGGCTTGTGTCACTGAAGCTTATATTGGCCCAGGTTGCACAGGCAGAGGGAGATTGTCTTATGACACGTAACGCAAGCTCGCTCTCTCTCTCTCTCTCTCTCTGATAGGATTTATGTGCTCAGGGCAAAGTTTTACAAGGGCCTTATTGCCTTGATGGACTCTGATACTAAGATAGGAGACGGCAGATTTTAGCTTGATAAGTTCCAGGAAAGGGGATGATTTATCCTTTCTCGTGTTTTTTTTTTTTTATCTTCCAGTTTTCTTAATCGAAATCTGGCATCAAAACCAAGCTGCAAATTATTCATGAAGCAAAGTATTTGCAGAAGTTATCTGAAGCATTAGATGTAAATTAGAGTGGCTTTCAAATAAAATTTGTATGTGATGGGCTCCCCACTGTGCTATATGGGCATGATTCCTGGGGCGACATAAGAGTTAAAAAAACAAACAAAAGAAAACTTAAAGGAACATTTCAATTACTCTTTTCTTTACGCTAGTCATAGTACATGGAACTTTATGTCCCGGTGTCCTGGCATCCTATTTACTTTAGGTTTAGTAGTCCCATTAAAATACAGCCCGCATAGCATTCCTAGCATAAGCAGTCTCAAGTAGTTTCAGACACGAAAAAAGCAAAATAAACTGATTGATAAATTAGAATGTCACATAATTTCTTTCATTTTACTCATAACCCCTACAGTATTTCATAAACCCATGCTGTACAGATGTTTATGGCTTATGGGCAGGGTGACCAGATCCACCATGTTTTCTAAGACGCATCATATATATATTGATAGGCAGCACGTGAAAAGGGTAGCCGTGTAGTATGTAGAATTCAGAAGAAGGTGTATAAGATTAAGCAATTGGGCAATGAAGAATCCTGCAGAATATGCATTCTGCATTCTGCAGGGCAACCCTTTTCATGCGTTTTCATAAATATGACAAAATGATATGTGTCTCTGTAAACATGGTGGATATGGTCACCCTGCAAATGGACAATTCTCTTAAATTAGGGGTGAACCAGGATCGTCTGAGAAACCCCAGACACTTCTAGCATTTAGTAATCCCCGCAGAAGTTGCAGAGTAGGAGCAAATTATGGGAGCACATTGATGATGTATTTATAGTTTTTCCCTCTGCATATTCTGTAATGTAGTATTACCCTAATAAGTGTGTTGCAAAGGGCTAATGTCTGTTTGATTTGGTGCCTCTGTGTGCTCTCCATGCGGCGGGCGCCAAAGCTTTATATAATTCTGCAAATTTCCTTTTCTTCCCCGCTAGTTAGAATTTTCTCTTGATTTATATAGGCACCCAAACCACGTCAGCTCAATGAAGTGGTCTGGGTGCCAGATCCCTCTAGTTTTAACTCTGCAGCTGAAAACATAGCAGTTTCAGAGAAACTGCCATGTTTCACTGAGGGTTTATCCAGCCTCTAGTGGCTGTCTCACTGACAAGCGCTAGAGGCGCCCCCGCGATTCTCACTGTGAAAATCACTGTGAGAAGACGCTGGATGTCCATAGGAAAGCATTGAGTAATAATATATATATCTTGTTCTTGAGAAAGGCCCAAGGGGGTGCTGAAACATTGATCTAGCAATGTAATGTTCACAGTTTGATATTTTTTTTGCTAATTAAAATCTGTTTGTTTTTTTGTAAAAAGAGGGCACTTCTTTTTTAATACCAATACTTACAGAAGGATGGATGCACTAAGTCAGTGTTTTTAAAGGTTGAGTGCCAATGTTTGGTTATATATATATAATGATGTTCAAACTCTGTTACACTGTTAAGGACATTGCTGTTTTTTCACAGAGTGCCTGAAGATGTGGTTGTGCTTTCTTACAAAGCATTTTTAAAGGAGTTCATTCATATGTCTTTATGGAACTGGGTAACATTTAAAATATAGACCTTGTATGTTAATTGAATATCCACTGTAAAATACATTTACTGCATTTAACTGTAAATTTTATCTCTGTGGAGTTCTTTGATAATCATACACATCAGGTATTACTTTGACTTTTATTGCTGACACACAACCCGCATCTCACTGAGTTTTATTCCACTGAAGTGGTGTAATACAAATTAAAACATTACAGCGAGTTGTGTGTTTGTGTAGGTCTGTGATATTCACACAAGTTGTATTGAGAGGAAGCTCTGATGGACAAAACCCATGCTGGTTAGAGCAATTCTAACAGCACTGTCCTAAAAACGGGACACCCAGGTTTAAATCTTGGTAAGACCACCTCAGTAAATGTCCTTAGATTAGACCACTAACTATACATATCCACCTACCTTAAGACCTTATAGATTGTAAGCTCATTTGAGCAGAGCTTATTTCACATCTAATTACCCCTTTCTCTAAATGTAAAGCACTGACTATATTGGCGCTATATACATTCTAATAATATTCATTGTGAATATTATTATGCAGCTCTGTGACTACTCACTGCTGTTTTCAATAGTTTTGGAGCTCTGTATGCCTTGATGCACACCAGATATTACTGTGAGTTGTAATGCAGTGAAGCTCTTTGATTAAACCAACACAGTGTTCTCACTGTGAGTTTTATTGCTGCGAAACCTAGTGACAAACTAATATATGCTGTTTATTTTTAGCATATCTAGAAATAAAATAGTCTCAGTAAATTATAGTTGAATGAGTGAAGACGTAAATCGATATCTTCTTCTACAAGAGCATTTTTCTGGTGGGCATCGTCAGAGCATAAGGCTGTGTGTCTAACATACCAGTGATGGAATAAAGATTGGGGATAGCAAAGGAATAACAATGCCTCTTGTCCATCCTTTAGTCCTCTTTCTCGCTCTTTTCTAACCTTATCTCCAGACGTTTGTCATCTTTTTCTACACTTAGTACTTTTCCTCCCTATTTGTGCTCAATAAGGGTAACAGAAACACATTTACAGTTTGATCCATGGTAACTACCAGCATTGCCCCTTGAATACAACTGCCATAACTCTTCTATTACACTTTTTGAATTTGCAAAATCAAATCTCATGCAACAATTGTAACTGCAAGATTGTTGTACATTAACACTGAATCTGTTTTTAAAAATAGCTTCCAAAGGGTAGGGTAAATAGATTAAAGCCTTTCTGAGGGAGGTCTAACTGGTCTGAGCACTTTAGAAACATACGGGAACAACAAAAAAAGCAATCTGCATACCAGCACGTTCCTCCACTCCCCACAACACTTCTGTATCACCACTGTGTTTACCGGCCGTAAGTGAGAACATTAGTTCATTTTTCTTTCTTTTTAATAATGACCTCAAGTGTGGCTTTTAAAGGACAAATCTAGTAGATTCTATAGTTTTTGCATAAGTATCTCAGAACCCTTGAGATGTCTCTGTAAGCCAAAAGGCCCAATATTTTGTTAATGATTAATAGTTAGCAAATATTTGTCAGCTGTTATTCTCTTGGTTACGTTATGTTTCCCAGAGTAGGTGATATAGAAGGTAGAAATGATCTAGTAATAGCATGGGATCTGCAGGTTTTATGGCAGATAAAGTTTGCTCAGTTAATGGTTAAGATCATAATAGCACCTGATTTTTAGTTTTACAACCCTGCTAAGTTGTGCTTGGTACACCTTTGCCCTCTGCCTACCTGTCAGTATTTAAAATGCACCTGTGGTGGAAAAACAAAAGAGATGTAATTTAAAGAGACAGTAATGCTTTAACATGTTGTTAATTATCATGGGGCTTTATTCACTAAACTGAATTAAAAATAACATTTTCAGAACTACAGCTAAAAGTGCCGGCTGGAGAATTTTTCCCCCCGGGCGAATTTGTTATTATTTTACAAATCTAGGGATCTAAAAAAGGCCTATAAAAATACATCTGGAATTCAAATTGCATCCATTTACCAGAAATGTGGTAGCTTACGAATAAATCAAAGTGACTCAAATCCCTGATCTTGCATTATTTACAAGTTCATGAGCAACTATTCACCAACTGCAGCCTGTTAAGCAGTAAAGAGGGCACCTTGCATGCACAACGTAGGCGGAATCCAGGGAGGAATGCAGACAAACATGGTGGTTGGGGAGGACATCATGGTGGATGTTCTTAGGAATTTGGCAGCAAATTAGAAATGTTTCCATGATCCCAGAATGCACTGGGAGAAGTGTGTCCTCTAACATAACCAGCCCGTTAAGCACACAGGAAGAATAAAAATAAGACTGCATAAAATCATACCAAATTCCCTAGAAATCAACACAGACCTAGCCTCTCTTTGTGGCAAACCACACGAGCATTATTGCTTAAAGTGGCTCTCTTATGTTTTATTTTTATTTTTCTTTCTTATGCCCATTGTATCTTAATGATTACACTCCCTCCCTTACTACTTGCCTTTATTTATATTTATTATGTTTTATTCCTTTTGTGGATTTCAAGTGCTGCCATTTTGTTCTCTTTTGCCCATGATGTGCGCAGTTTGCCTTTCTGTGGGATTCTTTTGACCAATGGATTGTAGGTAAATTATCTTAGAAACTGAAATGGAGCTTCGACCTAAGCTCTACCTGTTGCCAGAAATTGCCGAAAATTGCGTTCCCCAAAAGAAGTAGCTCCTTACTTTTTCTCATGTACAAGTAGACAACTGAGGTGAATTCAAAAAAAAATTTAAATAGATGGACAAAAGTTAATTTAAATTAATACCCGCAAAGCGACAGAATTCCTTTAATCCCTGTAGCAGGGTCCAGGGATTATAGAGTTTAATAAAATACCATATATTTCACCCAAAGTGTGTGTCTGGTTCGTGGGTGCATGTTAGATTATTATAAAAGGATATCCTTTGATCTATACATTCTCTAGCAGTTTGGTTTTCATATTTTTCAGATACATCTGCTTTTTTGTTTTAGGCCGTGGTGCCAATATATGATAGACCTTTTCTTTCTCATGCTGTTAAGATGAACCTACCTTTCAGATAAAATAAAACATATATATATATACATTTATGCAGCAGACTATAAAATATGTAGATTTGCTGTACACAAACTTCTTAAAAGTTTGGCAGTTATAGATTATTTTAATAGCTGCAGTATCTGCACACAGGTGTGGATGAAGTTTTCCTATTTTTAAATAAATAAACCATAAGCTGCTATTCTCTAGTTCTTCTCATAAACCTAAGTTACAAATCTTACAAAATAAGCGTTAGCTCACTTATCACAATAACTTTCAACCTAAAAAGTATAATTAAAATGAAATTATACACAAGGCGTCCACAAGATTAGTAAAACGTTTCTTTCCAATCACCACTGTTAGTAAGTTCAGCCTTTATCAGAATAAACCTCTTGTGTTGGTTACATATGTTTGTTGAGTGTCTTTTACTTGGGACGTCCATGCACATTCAATTCAGTACCCTTCCCCTGTTTATTTGGGAGCTGTGGTAAAATGAGTAGCAGAAAGCTATATTGTGTAAAAGTTGTTTTCGGCATTATTCTACACCTCCAAGAGGCAATATATAGTAAACAAAAATACTCCATGCAAAGATAATATGAATATAATAAGTTACCCCTTGTCATGGGTATAGATTGCTAAAGTTGGCAGGTAAATACACTATTGACAAAGAACATAAGGAGACAAATCTATTGAATAGTTTAGATTCTTTTTACACCTAATCTTTGTACATGCAGGTTTAATAATTTTCGCCAGATTCAATGACATTAAAACATATTAACCTCTGAGAAATGGGAGTGGAAATTCGGATTATCTGGAAACTTCAGATCCTGATCATTTTACTAGGCAATATTCTGCTTCCTGTCTGTGTTTTGCTCAAGCGTTCCGAGCTTGTGTTTGCTTTGTGGATTGTGTTATCGTTTGAAATTTCAGTTTAAATGTGAATCACTGTCTCCAAGTCTGTCAAAGGTGAAACTGTTGTCTATTAAATTATACTACATGTATATGTTCAAGAGCTTAACTCTAGTCTTGTAAAATCACTGCCTTTTTTATTCTGGAATGAAGAATCCGATAAAAATTCCAAACCAACCCCAAAGCTTAACAACTTGTAAATAAGTAATAGGATTATTTAAGATAAACTTTTTGAAAGCTATATTGAAACTCATGTTTCTTGTTTCATTTAGGTCATTCTCTCGACTCCCACAATATAAAGGAAGTCATTGTCTAAACCTTCAAAATATTCTATGTGTCCATTTAGAGAAGGTTTAAATAAATTCCAGTTGTTACATAAATGTAGTATTTTGACCTTAATACAGTTTAATGTAAACATTATTCTAACTTAAATAATAGTAAATTTAGAGTAAAATAATTTTCTTTAGATATTTTAAGGTTGCAGGTTATTGTACTGGTGTACTAATCCCTGTGCATTGTGGGAGCACACGGGTGTGGAAATAATCTATACATCGTGATTCCACTGGCACAACACGTCTGTTAAATAGTATTGTTTTAAAAAAAAAAAATGTGTGTGTTAAAAACTCGTATTGGTTAATAAAACCAAAAATATAAAATATTTTTAAATAGTTAGCTGCTACCACACTTAATGTGCAAACCGCCAAAAACACACAAAAAAAGTGAAATTTACTGGTTATGGGTTTTTTTCTTTTTCTTTTCTTTTCTTTACGAACCTTGGCAGCAACACATTTTAGGGCAGATGACGTATCTGAACCAAGCAGAATAATTCATCCCATCTCTCAAAGGAAGACCGTACCTTCACAAATTATAAACTTGTCACAGGTTCTTAAACAGTTTGTCCCTGAAGATGAGATTCAGTCAGCTAAAGGCTTTATTGAACAGCTATGAAAGTTGTCATTTTAGCCAGTGGATAAATGGCCTTAATAAATGCGCTGGGGGAGGCTTAAATACATTTCTCGTGGCTGTCTACCAGATAGCCACTAGAGGCGCTTCCTATGCACTGACCAAATTAAACCTGGGCATGTGATGTGGAAGCTCATGGGAAAGCATTGAAGTCCGTGCTTGCCTGCAATAGCATGCATATCTGGTCCTCAATGCTCCTCTGTGAAAAACAATAGATGGAACCATTGCAGGAGGAGCCTATGCATCCTCGATGATGTTGTGTGAGGCAGAAAGGTGAGCAGCGCTGAGGGAGTCTCAGATCTGGGAAAAGGTAAGCAAAATCAAAATTTTACTACTTTTAAAAGAAAAGTGTGTGGGGGATACCTGTATATGATCGGGACAGGGCACTTTAGTGCTAAGAATACAGGTTGGTATTCCTGGTTTGAAGTCTTTCCTCTAGACCGGGGGTGGCCAAACTTTAGCAACATGGGAATTACTATTTTGTAGCCAGGCTAATAGTGGCAGCCTACCTAGTAAGGGGCAGAAAGAGCAGAATGCTGGAAGGGGGAGTTCTCCAGTCAGATTGTGAATACCAAGAAGTCTCTTGTCATTGGTCCATGGACGAGGGCTCACATGCTCAGTCTGTCCCCAGTACTGTGCGAGGCTGCCATTCGGTGACTGCTACCAATTCGCAATCTAGCATTCAGCTGCCTGAGATTAACTGGTAGATCACGATTGTTCATTTGACCACCCCTGCTCAGCTCTGGACTTTTTCAGAGTAGAAGTCAAGTAAGAGGTAATTGGATCGATAGCTCCTTATCCAGTCCCCAATGCATTCCTATAGTCCAGATTTACATTACGGTGCATGAGCAAGGTCTTTGTTTAATTTTATATTAGTATATCTATATTATGCTGTTTATTAAACCACCATTGTACTGCATTATACCATTAGTTGGGAATTTATAAATACTAAATAATAAAATTCTCCACAAGTTTTTAAATATATCAAATGGCAAATGCTTTAAAGGTCACTCCAATGAAAAAGAGTGTTTAAATAAAACACTGCTTTTGGCTGGAGTAACCCTCGCTGACATGGTCCCCATGCCAAGGCCAAATTCTTCCTGTAGCTCTGTCCTCCTTTGGTGATATCACTACCCCTTGCTGTACATGGAGAGATGACCCAAAGGTCATGCTGAGGGAGGACTTGGGCAGCTGGGAGGGGAGAGCCGTGCTGCAGTTGGTCATCTGTTGCCAGATGGCTATATGTGTTCATAACATTTGTAGTCTATGCACAGAACTGACTTTAGCAAATGCCAGACGTAAAGTTATCTCTGTAGATGCATTATATATTACAGAAATGTTGCGCACACAGAGTCCCAGCACCATTTCATACCATGACACATAAGACCCACAGTCCTACATTCCACTGGTCTTGTCCTTGTATATTTTACCATAGTGAAACAAAATTTAAAATTTTTGAATTGTATAAAATCAGCCTTTACCTCCATCTGGAAGTGTTTGAAAATTAAACACCAGTCATTTCCCCACATCTTGTTGCCTTTCCACTGGACCAATGTATATTTGTTATTTGTGCTATTAGTAGTTGTCTGGTCAGACAGCCGCTTCTGTTAATATTATTTTTGTTGTTATTGATGTTTTCTTGCTATTTTTTTATTTTTTCTTATTCCCCAACTAGAGATGGGGGGTAGAATTTCAACTAAGAATAAACCCCAATAATCCTTAGGCCCCCTTCAGTTTACAAAATAAATGGATATTGTAACAGCACTGCATTCCTCCGTGTAGGGGAGAGTACAATGGAGGGTTTTTCATATTGTGTTGTGTTATATATAAAACCTATTATATTGCAATTGAAGAATGAGTCACTGAGAGCTAAATTTACATTTGAAATGGTTTGCAAAGGTAATGCAATGTACTTTGGGCCCCTGTCAAAAAAAGTTTAGAACCTACAGCATCTATTGGGTGTTGAGGACCTTGCAAAGGTCGCTGACATCCGTTTATCTGAAAGATTATTCAAATCTGATTTCTTACCAAACGGCTGTGCATATTTTCAACTTGTAAATATCAGAATTTGGCAAGTAACCAGAAATGAACTCTCATGGCAGTGACCAGAATAGAATGTTGGTTCTGTATAAATAGCAATTCTGGGGAAAACATCTAAAAATTAGGTAATTAGCAGGAACATTCCGTTGGTTAAGATGGTGATTTCTCCAGTACTGCTCATTATACACAACTCTCTACCTCTCTTATTATGCAGTGTTACCACAGTTAAATGGACTTTGGTAATGGGTTTGTATCACTTTGTCATTTAAACAGCAGCTCTGGAGACCATGCAATGTAATTATTTCAACTGATTTCTGTTAGTTTAAACTCAAAATGTTTACAGTTCTACTTGTGTGATCTGCAGCTTCTTCGATCATTTCTTTCTCCACAGAAACAGCGTTGAACATATTATTAAGCTGGTGGAGCAGCATGGCAGCAATGTATGGTGGACACATCCTTTAGAAGACTTACTCCCTCAATCTGTCCTTAAACAGGTATTATTGCTCAAATTAGATTACATGTAGGGAAATAGGAAAAAATGTCTCATACATACATATTAACATTTTTGGACAGCATAGACACAAGTCCTATGTAGTGTATGTTTAAAGTGGTTAGCCTAACCTACCTTTGTTTGTCACTCACCCTGTCTCTTGCCAGGTTGGCGGAAGTGCTGCTGTGACGGATTTTGAGCCTGGACGAGATGTTTTAGACATCTGGTTTGACAGCGGTACTTCTTGGGCCCATGTTTTGGAAGGTATGTGAACAACATTTAAGTCATATTACTAATACTTTCTTTACAGACTCATGCAGAACATTGTTTTATACCTAAAATTAAAAAAATTTTAAAAAAAATTTCACACAATGTCCATTCACTCACTTCCATGTGACATTTTTCTTGTTTGATAAAGGTACCTCTTGGGCCCATTTTTTGGAAGGTGTGTAAACATAAAATAAACTATATTGTGGATGCTTCCTTTACAAACCTATGCAAAACATTGTTTTATACCTCAATAATGAGGCAATATATAAATATATAAAAAAAAATATAAAGCCACATATCCTCAATTCAAGCATTTCCTTGTGACATTTTTGTGGCAGTGGATTGCAAACATTATAGTGAGTACTACTTAAAGGAGCACTATAGGGTCAGGAACACAAAGATGTATTCCTGACCCTATAGGGTTAAAACCACCATCTAGCCACCCTGGTTCCCTCATGCCTCCCGAAATATAGTAAATCTTACTTGTTACTGTACATAATGCTTGCATTAAAACTTTTGCTTTATAATATTACCAACTAAATGTGAGGGGGGAAAAAACCCAAATACTTTTAGATATATATGAAAAAAAATGTAGAACCCTTGTTTGTCTTCATTGAAATGCTGCTTCAAGTAGACACATGCATCTAGAGTAGTTTTAAAAGTAATAGTATTGCAGATTGATATGTGGGAAGTTAGAAGTTTAAGAACGAACAAAGGATCTAACTCGAACTTCTGTCACATACCCAAGATTTAATCTATGCACGCCAATTTCAACACACTCATGTGTGGGCGTCAAGTCTTTTTCTATGACCTGCTGGGAAGCCGACATGGAAAGGCTGTAACAGGACATGCAGAAATGGCCAGAACCTCTACAGTAATATTTAATTTTATTCATGGAAGAGGAAGAAACCAAATGAAGGCTGAGAATTAAAATGCACAATAGCACCGAAACGAAATATACATTCTATTCCAATGGCATGCTAACAGGACAGGTTTTCAACGTACGATGTATCGTTCATATATTTACTGACTTGAATATGTAAACACAGGGATTAGGCGCTCACTATAGTGGTAGTCTAAAGACCAATACAAGGATTCCCAACCTTGTGATAAAATGGTATAGACAGAGAGAGGGAGGAAACCGCGCCCTAGATAGTGTAATAATAAAATAGTAAAATACTTTCAAGTGGGACTTTTAAACCAATTTACCAAGTATTTTACTATTTTATTATTTTTTGCTGTCGTTAAAAGGTATATTTTATCCTTTATTCATTTTGGACTTCAACTCCTTTACCTCCTGGTTACCATCACATTCCCTGGTGGGGATTATACCACCTATGCTACAAGTTGTGCTCTAGTAAATGTGAGTACGTTATTTTATACTTTATTTTATTTATTTTGTCAGTATATATTGCACTATTGGATCTTTCTATGTCTTTCCACATATATTCTGCCTGAGACTACCAAGATGCATACTGCTGTACATATCCTTAGATGGGGATTGTTCCGTCCATGCGTATAAACAGCTGAGCTCTGAGTTAGCCCTAGTAAATGTGAGTGTAACCATTTAGAAACACTCATATATATATATATATATATATATATATATATATATATATATATACATACACTCATTATACTTACCTTATTACACTATTATCCGTTTATGTTCTTGTATCTTTTTGAGGTCGACTGTATATTTATATCTTCACAATAAGAACTGTGTACGTATACGATTTTTTTATATTACACTATCTAGGGCGCGGTTTCCTCCCTCTCTCTGACTTGAATATATATTCTTTGCATTGTCAGCAGAAACAATTTATCTACAGTCTTCACCAATACTGCCTTCATTAAAGGTTTAAGACACACAAAAATGAGATAAAAAATTTACTTTGAATAGATAATGGCAGAAATGAATCAAGTAAGTTGTGTGTTCAAGGAGGGTTTGGAGACAGTGACATATCGACTAACGTATCTTATTAATTCATTCCAAAGGGCATCAAGTAGAGAACACAGATAGCAAAGCTGGTTTTATTTCACATTTCGATATGATTCAATGTTCATTGAACCTTTACTGCAACTTATGAATAACAATACGAATGTAATACTGTTGTAGGCAGAAAGGAAGAAATGCTTTATCTCATTAAAGTGGTTATAGTCTCTGGAGTCCCTTTATGCTGTCCTTCCATTTAGCATGTATGGGTTACGCTAACCCTTTTTCTGAAATTCTGTTGTTTAGTTTATAATGCTGTGCTGAGCGTTACTTTAGTAGCAGTGGCCATGTGAAAGTCACCCTCCTGCACCTAAAAGGTGGGAAACAGGAGGGTGACTAAAACAGTTTGTGTATATATATATATATATATGTGTGTGTCTGTATGAATGTTTCTCTGTGTGTTTGTCTATGTCTATCTGTGTCTATGTCTGTGTTCGTGTGTGTGTGTATGTATGTGTTTGTGTCTGTCTGTTTGTATGTGTCTCTTTGTCTGTTTGTATGTATGTCTATATGTATGTATGTGTGTGTCTGTATATGTGTGTATCTGTTTGTCTGCATGGGGGTGGAGGGACCCAGGGAAGTTTTTGCACGGGACCCCGTGGTTTCTAGTTACGCCTCTATTTACTAGGCACCCTTTGTAAATCTAAAACTAAAGAGTTGAACTTATCTGGATTCCAGCTTTGGGCAAAGTTCCCAGTGTTTCCTTCTACCAAACAGAGTTCAGAGTGCAATTAGCCACCTGGCACAGAAGTGCAGATATATCTGTATGTGCAGAAGATATCCATTGCTGAATCTTTAATATAAAGAAAAAAAAATTTGTTGTAAAAAACAAAACTCAATGTGTAATCGAATTTAATTTGTTCAGACATGACAAAAAAGTAATTAAAGTTGAATGTATAAATTAGAATTTGTAGTTCTTCCAACTACAGGGCGATAGTAATCAAACAACCTGCTCTTGTCAGATTTACATCGTATAGTTAAGTTAGAAATTACATAATGGCACTTAAAAGGTTATAATATTTAATCAATGCATAGTGCTGCCATTTAAAATAGATATGTCATCGGCCGTCTGAATTACATGAGTATGTATAGCGTATGTGTGCATATGAATATATGTATATTTGGGGTTTTATACGTGTGCAAACATTTTCACAAATTATTTACAAACATTACATGCATATGCATACTCATTTTGTTTAGTATATTCAATTAAACAAACTAGAAAAGTCCTTTCAATTCTGCAGGCTTCCATAATAACCTTTTCAATGTTTAAGCTCAACGTTTGCTTTAGAATGATTAAGTTGGGATTTTATCTCACGGTAACCCCTTCAGTGTATGCAGCCAGGCTATAAATCCTAAACGATACAGGGACAATCCTAGGTAGCTTGGCTGTAAGCTGACCTGGCTTGTAAGCTAACCTTGCTGTTTGTGTAATTTTTATCAGAGCAATTGAGATTTTACAGCATTCATATCAGCTTACACGGTAGTGCTGACCCACAGAATTAAAGCAAATTATACGCTGTAGGTCATGCATCCGATCACAGCATGTCAGTGAGCCATTAAAAGTTATCTTATTGTATGCAATGTATGGATAAAAATGTCTCATGCTAATTTTATTAAATTTTTTTATCTCATTTTTTTCACCCATTTTTTATTTATTTTTTTTTTTTTTACTGAAAACTATTAGAATTTAATGTTAACCCCTAATCCCCCTGATTTATTCAAGAAGTTCGCTTTATCAAAAGGGATTATTTTATAGCTCAAACTGGTCCTGGCATACAGCATGGCTTCACCCACTTGAGGTACCTATAGAGTATATTCACCAGTGTTTGAAAAAGTATTGCGTTATCTCGTAGCATTGCTTTCCTACAAATAGGAACATTTTTTTTTTTTTGCTGTGTGTAAATTTTTTAAAAATTTTTTTATTTCTGTCATTATATAATGGAAATCGAATTTGGCAAAAAAAAGTTCTGTTCTGTTTTTACATACAATGTCGTAAGCGATTTCTTTGTTTTTCCCTCTTAAACAATAGGACCAAAAATAAAAGGCGCGAGAAGCGGGTATACTAGTGCTACACAAAAATTAGAATGTCTGCCTTTTCTTTTTGTTGGATGCTTTCCTTCTCCCAAAAGGAAGCTGTGTTGGTATTCGGACAAGCCGGCAGCATTTATTCAAATCGATTTTTTACTTCTTCGGTAATACTTTAATCTAGTCTCTATTTCCAGATGTAGTGCATTCTACATTATAAAAAGGCACATTGCCTGACTTTTCTCAGTTCTTCTCTAACACAGTGCTGCTGAGCGAATGAATGGCCACAAGAGGGCACTTTTCATTCTAGATGTACACTGTCTGCAATGAATGTTGCAGATTGCCACCAGTATTGATTATAGGCAAGAACAAATCACTTCCTATAAATGTACCTGATTGAAACAGTGATATAAAATGAGTTACAGATTTTTCAAGATATAACAATGAAATTAGTCTAGCACGCCGTTAAATGCCATTAATCTACTGAATTGTTAATAACGTATCCCCTGGCTGCTTCATCTTGTTACTGTGCATAGAGTAACTGTGATCTTCTGTATCTAAACCATTCTATCCTTGTAATGTGTGTGATAATAGGTCTTTTTATATGAATTATTATACTGAATTGTTTGGGATCTCCTATAGCCATGTATCATATATCCTTTGACTCGCCAGCTTCTGTGAAGCTCTGACACTAATCATTTCTTTTCCCATTCTGCTGTTGATTAGCTCAGCTATCGGTGCCAAGGTCTGTGGTTTGCACTGGTACATCCAAGATTATGTAATTGATGTAATAAATATGTGTGTCATATATTGTCTGCTAGATCACACAACTATGAATAAACAAACCGCTTACGTTATTACTAATGTGATCGGAAAAATCACCCCATCCTTTGCTCTGCAAAGTATATGGTCTCCACCAGCTGTACTGTTTTAAAAGGTGGATGTTTCAGTTTATATGTGTAATTGGGCAATTAGATACAGTAACCCTTGTTTTAGAACATAAATAGTGTTACTAACCTCAGATCCAGCTTGCTAACAATACTTGGCACAATGCTGGGGCAGCTCTGAACCTGTGAAGTTCAGTGGGCCATGGTGAGCTATCCTTAAAACTAAAATCAGGACCCATGTACCAGTGAGTGGAAAATCTAGTGAGGTCATTTTCCTTCCCTCCAACCAGGAACTGTGTGTGTGTGTGTGTGTGTCATCATTCCTTTTAATGTCTAAGGACGGGGCTAGGCAACATTTTGGTAGCACTGTGTCATATTAAAACTCTGAAGTTCCTAAAGGTGCATACATTTTATTTTTTTATATAAAAGTAACCTTTATGTATGTTGAGGAATTATAATCATGTTTTGTAGGTATGCTTTGTGAGGTTGTGTTGAGTTATGTATGTGTGTGCACTATATGCATTGTTTGTATTATGTATGTGTGTGCGCGATATGCATTGTTTGTGTTATGTATGTGTGTGTGCGATATGCATTGTTTGTGTTATGTATGTGTGTGCGCGATATGCATTGTTTGTGTTGTGTGTGTGCGCTATATGCATTGTTTGTGTTAGGTATGTGTGTGCGCGATATGCATTGTTTGTGTTATGTATGTGTGTGCGCGATATGCATTTTTGTGTTATGTATTTGTGTGCGCGCGATATGCATTGTTTGTGTTATGTATGTGTGTGCGCGCGATATGCATTGTTTGTGTCATGTATGTGTGCGCGCGATATGCATGGTTTGTGTCATGTATGTGTGTGCGCAATATGCATTGTTTGTGTTATGTATGTGGGTGGGTGTGTGCGCGTGGGCACTTTGGGCCAGCTAGAGAGATGCTCTGATCTCCCCGTCTGGCAGCCTAGCATGCCATGCAAAGGCACCATAGGTGTGCCATAGTTTGCTGACCCTTTTCTTCTGAACACCTTTTTAATTTTTTAGGTCATAAACCTCTTCCATTTTGCTCATGTATTTATGTAACGAAGTCTATTGTTGCGTTAAAGCTAATAGGGTGACTAGGTATGGGCATTTAAATTCGATTTTCAAAAAAAAAGTCTAAAATATGCTTTTGTAATTTAGGCTGCGCTGAATTATATTTGTGTTTGTTTGTTTTTAATTGCACTCTTGCCCTTATCTGTCTAAAAAGAGCTTCTATTTGGCCTTTAACTATTAATGATAAAATAGGCAGCCTCTGTAGGACAAGCTTTACTAAGTGGCATATTTGAGATAATGCCTTCATATGAGATGAAGCTCTTGCCCATGACTTGCCACTGGCGCTTTATTATTATTATTTATATAGTGCCAACATATTCCGTAGCGCCTATTCTACTTCACTGGTACTTTAACAATAGTGTTATTATCTATACAATACAATGATATAAGTTGCCATCTCATCATACTTTACACCACTTTTCGAAATTACCAAATGTTTAAGTTCCAGTTATACCTACTCTTACACCTATGTTCAGCAATGTAGCTTACTTGTTGTATTATACTTCCCATATATTATTTATATATCAATGAACAGAGTTTAAAATCTATTCTCAATCGAAAATCATATAATGATAACCAATCATGTAACTATCACTCCAACCCTCATGTTTTGGAAAGCTTCACCACAAATTATTTTTTAGGATAATCCCGATCTCCTGGCAGGAATCATGGGACTGTCACTCAGTTATTTTTTGAGTTCTTCCAACGTAGCTGGTGTGCCTCACCTTTTATTTTAATGGGGCAATTAACTCACTACTGACTACTGAAGAGAGTAGCAGAACACCGTTTTAGATACATTCAGCTGTCCTACTTCACTCCTTGAATTTAGCCTCCTGACCTTTTTTTTTTTCCAATACTTGTGCATTACAGACCCACTTCTACCTCCTTTTCGCTATGCTTTATGCTATTTTGGTTTTAGCATTGAAACCAGAGTTGAAACCAGAGCTGATGGTTTCTTTATCTGACCAAGAATGGACCAAAATAATGGTACATTGCTAATACTCAATTGGCTTTAGGAATGTACATAAAAATTCTATGTTATATTACACAGATCAATAAACTTTTTATTTTCTGCAGTCTGGGGTTAAATACTGGAGGTGTCACTGAGGATTTGAAACTTACCAACATTTGTGGCTGGATTGCAATCACATTAAGCTCTTTTGGCGAGGTGTCTAAGTGGCTATCAAATTAAGCTTCCAGAAAGAATCTCACCAATTCTCCAGCAGCTATTTTGCTACATTACACTAAAATACCAATCTCCAACTAAACAATAAAAATCTATTTTATAAAATATCTTTTCCTTGCCTTTGATACTAGAAAGGGTGGTAGTGTTAGACAAACCTTGTATATGCCAAGTTTTGGATACATTGTCATTTTTACTTGCATTTGAAACGATAATTACAAACTTCAGGTCCAATCACCCAGATTTGAAATAAAATCCTTAATTTGTTTATTTTTCTAAATCAGATGTTTATGTCCTAAAATGTGCAATTTCCACCTTAGTTTTCCACAAAACCTAGTTTAGTGGGTCTTCTCCATAGATTGTCTGTGCATGGCCTGCTGTGTTGTTAACTGTTTGATTCCAGCCTCTGGAGTTATGATATCTCGGTGCTATGTCTTATTCACTTCTCTTTCTCTATGTTGTAAGATGCCGAGCAGAGAGCGGATGTGTACATGGAAGGCAAAGACCAATTGGGAGGTTGGTTTCAGTCATCCTTACTCACCAGTATTGCTGCCAGGAATAAAGCACCATATAGGTGAGTAGAACACATTGGGATTTGTATTCTGAATTAGCTAGGACAAGATAAATAAACCTGTCATTGTATTTACTTTTTGGGGAAAGGCCGCCTGTAAATGGCAAAGACCCACCACAAATTCTCCAGTTGATTTAAAAAAAAAAAAAAGGAAATATATATATGACCCATAATCCTCTAGACACAACCACCTTTACCAACAATTAAAACAAAATAAATTAGATTCATGCCTCACCTTATACAACTTGTTTGTTTCCTTTTAATAAATACCACTACTTTACTCTGACGTACTTACGTTTTGATTTACATCTGTGGATATGTTAGTCTGCTTGTATCTTGTGCATCTCGAAGGAATTTTTAACCCAAAATATCCATCAAAGGGGCAATTTTTTAGGTGGGAAGATAAGTGCAATTTCTCTGGACAAGTGGGTAGCCATAGAAAGAAATAGAGAGGGATTCTAAGTCGAGGCACAGTTTTTAGGGATGTTAATAGTCCATTCTAGAATCCCGTATAACTAAAACGTCAACAAATCAGGGATTTTTTTGTAAGACCGTAGGCTCATACTACACATGAACTTTCTTTACTAAAACGCCAGCAGCAAATACACTCCGTCTGGTTAATACTTGCTGTTGATGAACATTTTTATATTAATTTATAGAAATATTGTTGTCCACGGCTTTACGTTAAGTGAAAAGGGGGAAAAGATGTCCAAATCTGTTGGAAATGTGGTGGATCCTGATTTTGTGATCAATGGAGGAGCAGTGAGTACATGTCTGTTTTACTCTGATAAAATCTAGATTAAGTGCAATTTTATACAAGTCTAGGGGAAACGACTCAAATAAAGGTTCTGTAGACTCCAAGACTAATAACAGTTTAACGTTTGCAATATGGGGCTACCTTTCCTTCTGTAAATACCTCTGGACATCTAAATTTTATTCCATTTTGGAAAATCGCATCTTTTGCAATCATGTTAACAATTTGATATTTAATTTGTGACTATGTACAGCAAGCATGTCAAACTCAAAGGCTAACACGGGCCAAATAAACAAGGTTTACGTTGATGTGGGCCGCAAAAAAACAAAAACTCCAGTTTTCATAGAAATGTAGGTTTATTTAGAAAAGTACAGTATAAAAAAAAAAAATTGCCTAACAGACACTGGACGTCCTCACGCTTGTAGGGCTTCAAAGTAAACAAAGGAGGAGACGTGCATTTGCATGTAACCAATGTTTTAGTCCAACAACCTTGACATATTAAGAAAAGTTTGGTAATGGGACTGAAATGATGAATGTATGCTAATACACTGCCTCCTCCCCCAATTCTAATATATTGCCCACAAATCCAATACACTGCCCCCTCCCCAACTCTAATACATTGCCCCCAAATCCAATCTAATACACTTCCCCTTAATCTAATACACTCCCTCCACTCTAATTGAATACACTGCCCCTCCTCCCAGAACTCTAATTTAATACACTGCCCCCCTCGCTCCCCCAAATTAATACACTGCCCTCCCCCCAATTTAATACAAGGCGGGCTGCTAATATATCCACTATGGGCTGCAAGTTTAACATGCTTGATGTACAGTATCGTTCTCTCTGCCTCCCTGCCATTTTCAATTACACGGTGAATATAGCTAATTATATAAAGACGTAGGCAAATTTAACATTAATCCGTCTCAGTGTTGAAAGGTATGCACAATAGTTATAGGTTTGTTAAACCTTTTCATGAAAAAATGAATGAAAATAAGATTTATTTATTTTTGAATTATTCTTTATTTCCTATAATAATTTTCTGCTTTGTATTTGGGTTTGTATAGCATGTCATTTCTAGTGAAGGCCTGACGGCCAATTTACAGACATGCATTTCATGTTGTTGCAAGACTCATTTCTGAATTCCGTTGGTAGTACACACGGGCATATCTGCCAAAACGCGAGCTGGACCTAAGGATTTTTTTTTTTTAATCCGTGTGTCCTATACATCCCCCACAGCCATCAGGTATGGTTTAATGCCCTGTCAGAGAAGCCATTACTGCTGTCAATGTGGGATTTATTGCAATGTCTACCTATAACTCCCCAAAATCTACACTGTGATTAGTAAAGTATCGTCTCACGTTTCACCTGTCTCTCCACGGGTTGGTTTGTCCGTTTCTGTGAATCAGTATGTGTATCCTAATGTAATGTGCCAATGTGTCCACAGATAACTATGCAGATGTTACATGCACACAAATGTGCGTAACATGCTCACACAACACAAACATTTATGCACATTATTTATTGATTTCATCATGATGAGGGGATGGTGCACATCAACTTATAGCCAGAACTACTACAATTATCTGCAGTGGTCATGGTGTTTAGAGTGTCGCACTCTAAACACATAAAGCACCTTAGCAAACTGAACTCTATACAGGTTTAAAGACTAGGAAAAGGGCTGGTTTAATCCTTGTCCCATATTGTACCTCCTGAATCAAACTAACAGACCTTTAACTGAGAATGATTAGTAATCACTTACCTCTGTGAAAAGAAAAAGGTCAATATTCTTTGAATGATTAGAGTTAATGATTGAGCCAATCATAATTTAGGTATTTCTGGTGATTTGCTTTGATATTGCAAGAACGCAATATAATGTGGCGTTGGGTAAACAAAGTCCACTATCTCAAATTTTAGGGGTTTATTGTGTTTGCAAATATTAACATTAGAAAGATTATATACATTATTTCATGTAAAATGGTGGGGAATATATTTGTATTTAGGTGGTCCTCAATGACCCTATCAGATGTTATGTTAGGCAATGATTAATAGAATTGTTTTTGTTAATATTATTATTATTATTAAAACATTTCAATTCAATTTCCAATTTTAACATTACTTTTTGCCAATTCTTAGTGTTTATGCTTTTAATGAACTTCCATAATTCCATAAGCCAAGAAGTTAGTCACCTGTAACCGTTTTAAAATGTGATGTTCAGTTATTAACTGCTAATCTTGCAGTCTCTTTAGAACCTGCCCCATTTTGTAGATACACCCCATACTCCAAGAGTTAAGAAGACATGGCTCTATGCAAATAAAAATGAGCATTTACATTCTATTAATTGAATAGCTGTGTACTTGGTTATAACATGAGCAGAAGTAGGCACCTCTCCCCCACATTATTTTACAGTACAATGTTCTCCTTTAAAGGGAATCTCTACAGTGCACAAAAACAAACTTGAAAATCACTGTTTAGTAGATATGCCCCAAATTAAAACATGAATGCGTTTAATTGCACTTTTTTTTCCTATTGGGGGTTTATCTAAAAACATTTTACAAAACCTTCAGTTCTCTTGTCTGCTGCCTTTGCAAGCCCTCCCCTTCTAACACCGCCCAGACATCTTGTGACTGTCCAATCACAAACTTCCCATTGCAGCTCAATGAGAAGTCTTTACAAGGCAGGTGATCTGGGCAATTGTTGCCTTTTTAGTGTAGCTCCACTGAGCTAACCAAACCAGATACCAGGTACAAGTAACAGGGCCAGCTGTCTGCTTTTCACACATAAAGCATTTGAACACGCTAAAGGGACGAGTGTCCTTTTAACACTTCTTATAACATCTTACACTGTCAGAATTAGTTGTATTTCAACCGTCCTGAGACATCCATTCCAGTAGATGTAACCTGAGTAAGCATACGTGTTATTAATTGTGCATTAAGAATTGTCTGTATCTAACTTAGGACAAACTTAAAGAACCTGCGTATGGAGCAGATGTCCTTCGTTGGTGGGTGGCAGAGTCCAATGTGTTTACTGAAGTGATGATAGGACCAGGCGTTCTTAATTCGGCACAGGACGACATCAACAAAGTAAGATATGATGAGCTGTGAAGTAAAATACACATAAAAAGTACTCTCCTCTAAATCTGCTGCTTCTGTCGAGACCAAAAAAAGGTCTGGGTTTCCAGCCAATCCTGATCTTCTTTGCTTTCAGTGGGAGCATCTTAATTCATATTTCTTTTTATAAACGTATTTCAGTCTCATAGTTACACAACTCCTGTTCAAACTCTTACATAGAAATCTATGAGGAAGTCTGTGTAATGCAAGTAATGTACAGGTTAGGAAGAAGCATATACCCAGAGTGGTTTTAATCAGCGCAGTGCTTATCAAATAAGGAGTGACATAAACAGGAAGCTTATGTCTTCAGCATCAATATTTTTCTTTAAAGGAGCAAACATCACTTTCATGGAAAATAAATCATTGAATATCACTTGTAACTTGTGTTGCTTTCTATGTGATTCTCCATTTTTTTTAAATGCATGTTACAGCAGTTGGCTCATATGTTAAGAAATTGGCCTCACAATCCAGTTCAGTACTGACACATTTGGGACACGCATTGCACTGGAAGAGGAAAAACAAGAACTTATTTCTGTTTCTCCTCATCTCTTTAATCTCTTTATACCGATGGAAAGGGGCACAGGACAGGTCTTTTGCCGTTGATTGACAGGAAGCCAAAAGGTTTGAACATGGCGTAGGCAGTGCTTGCAATCAACCTTTAAAGGATCCCAGCCTTCACCCAGACCACTTCATCTCAATGAAATGAGTTTGGGTGCAGTGGTCCTTTCATTTTAACACACTTTTGTGTGTTTTTTTGTAGAAATTGCAAGGTTTACATTGCTGGGTTAAATACATCTCACATGGCTGTCTTCCTGACAGCCACTAGAGTTGCTTTGTCCTCCAGAACGAAGTGAAAATGATTGCAGCATTTGATTGGAGGATAATGGTGTTTTGCCAAGCATTTATATTTCCAATCCACTGCGTCTCAATGAGAAGCATCGGTTTAAAGCAGATTGCGGAAGCTGTCATTAAGCATGCTGGTACTGGAAATGAGATAAGTGATCTCTTTTAAACTTTAATTTGCAATACCAAAGGGGGTAGACAGAATTGAAATTATAGTCCAGAAACCATGATTGTTATTTTTGGGACTATATGTCCATTTAACTATTGCTAAATTACCAGCCCATTACTTACAGTGATCACTATGGACCCCTGCATTCACTGTCAGACTTGCACTTTTTTTTTTTTTCAATGAGTGGTGAAGCAACATCTTTAGCAAAACCTGCCTACCTTATTTAATTAGACCATCATGGGAATTCTAGAACATATGGATGGAACAACATTCTAGAACTGATTCTAGAACATCTAGACAAATTATAGAACCACTATATGGATGTGCAAGGATGGCTTATTCCTGCTATGGAGAAAGTGTTTAATTTCTAGAAGCACCGTAGTGTGCTGAGCAAAATATTGTGTTTTTCTTTTACCCAATGAACACTGTCTGCAACAAGTCACAAATGTGTATATTTTGCCTTTAATCGGTTAGTGCAGTACTGGGGGTTATTTAAAGTGAAAGGAAGCATACGATACAAGTGTATTGTGAGAGGGTGCTAGTATATGTCTTTCTTTTTGTTATCCTTGGATATTGACAGATATAAGATAAACATCTACAATTTACCAGTTTCCTTCATTAATCTCTGTTCATGTCTAAATCATTTTTCTGCAACACATAGCCTAAAATATTCGTATAAATCACACTTTGGTCGTGGTGAATGTTATTTTGAGCGTTTGAGGTACAAATCTCTAACTCAACGGACTAAGCATTGTTTGTATCATGTTATCACGGGAGCGTGCTCTATGTATTTCTTATTTTGTTTTGTAGCTGCGGAACGTGTTGCGGTTCATGTTAGGTAATCTAAATGGTTTCACTCCAGAGACGGACTCTGTGCCAAGCACCAAGATGTATGTGATAGACCAGTATATGCTGCACTTACTGCAAGACTACTCCAGCAAGGTATGGCTTTCTAATTGTCATAGATTGAAAGAGGTTTGCTGGGTGGACCACCCTTGAAATCAGATAAAACCCAGAAAAGCATTAGGGCGCTTTAAATATTCAATTGAAAGTGCTATAAGTGAAAGTGCAAATAATTTTTGTGTAGATGAAACCACTTCCAATTCCCAAATAAGTGCATAAAAGTAATCACCATACAACAGTATTGCACTACCTTTTTAAAAATTCATATATATGCAGGTGCATAAAACAAATACCAATTGATTGCAGAATGCCTGTATAATGTAACTCCCATTTGAAAATGCCCCAAAGTAAATCCACACACAGATCCCATAGCCACTTCAAACTATATACGGCTCTGCGTATATCCGCTTAAAATTACTGATGGATATTTCATTCCGCTTCCATTCCACAGGTTGATGTGTATCGGCTAAAAAATAAATAAGGAGAACCCTCCAGTTGCGTTATTCCATTCATAGATATTATTTTACAAAAACATTAAAAAAAAAAAACCGCTTACGTTGTAACTTTAACTGTAAATTTAACGCCGAAACCCAACCGAATTTCAATTTGCTCCTTCTGTGTCCGCGATCTGTAGCGCTCCGTTCGCATGGGGAGTTCTAAGTCCGCCTTCTGCAATTGTCACGGTATGTGGTGAAACGAACCACTTGATGATTGCAGGAAGTGTACCCGGAACTCACCACACAAATGGAGTAAATAGAAATTTGGTCGGATTTCGGTGGTTAAACAGGAAAACTACAATATCTGACTTATGTTCATCTCCCCTTGCTTTAGGTTTCTGAGGCGTACAAAGGGTATGATTTTGGGAAAGTTATTCGTCTACTGGAATCCCTAATCACAAGAGATTTATCAAGCTTCTATTTCAGTATAATTAAGGACAGGTATTTATATCTATTATCACTGCACTAATTCACTGTTACTTGCAAAGCTCTAGGCTTTTTGGAAATGTTTTTTGAATTATTAAACCTGATATACACCAATGGGCTGTCTCATAACGTGAAATATATTTTACATCTCTCTGATTGCCCTTTTTGCACCAGTCGACTTTGTGCCTGATTTGCTGCCTGTTTTTGTGTGAGATATCAATAAATTTTACTGTTTTAAGGCTTTATTGCGAGGAAGAAAAAGATCTGAAGAGGCGCTCGTGCCAAACTGTGTTATCAGAAGCGGTGGACCTAGTAGTACGTTCATTTGCCCCAATTCTTCCACATTTGGCAGAAGAGGTCTTCCAGTATATTCCATACAAACAAGGTACAAACTCTGTGCCCAGCAGGATATGCATTTCTTACACTATTGAGGTAGAAAAGACTAATGACAAACCACTGTTATCTAAGGGCATACAATCAGATGTTGTAGTCAATAGAAACAAGATGTTTTCCTGGTTTGGACCTGAATCACATTCTCAGAAATAAACCTTCTACTTGATTTGCTAAGAACTTTTTTCATTGTGTTTAAGGATCAGAGGGAATTTTCCGCACAGGCTGGATTAAATCTGACTCCGTATGGAAAAAGCCAGGGTTGGTGGAAGCAATTGAGGCTGCTTGTTCAATCAGAGATGCCTTTCTAGGGTCGATACCAGGCAAGAACGCAGCAGAATATGACATCACCATTGTCATAGAACCAGGTCTTTTGTTTGAGCTAATGGAGGTAAGATGCATTCCTGTCAATGTCTCACTACAAGATCATAAAGCATTAAAAATGTCTTGGTTTTAGGATTCCACTAATGCCCCATTCATAAATCACAAATGAATGTGCTGACATTACATAAAGTGTCTTCCAGCTGCTGCCTTCGATTTGGGCACCCCTTGCTTTTAATCATTAAGTATGCAACAAGCCAGTTTCATTAAACTCATATGTACCATCTGAAACCTATGAGATGGGATGTCAACACCAATGGACTGAAAGGGTTTCTTTTTGTTTAATTATTTATTTTAATTGTCACTTGAGAATGGAACAACAACTACACTATTGCAAAGTGATTGTTTTGATAGGAGCAGTGGATCTTTAATGGTATAATTTTTCAGTAACACATTACATATGGAATACCATATTCAATTGTTTAAGAGCACAAGTATTCATACAATGCAATGGCGTATTCATGTAATGCTGTGGCATATACCTGCCAGGTGATGTGGTAGCCATTAATAGAAATAGAAAGGGGATTACACCACTCTGACCATCTTTGACGCTCCATCTGTTGTAGTAAGTAAGCATTCCGAATGCCTGGCTGAGCCACATGAAAACCAACTTCAGCTGGAGGGCGGGTGGTTAAACTACAGGAGATTTAATAACATGGTGCTCTTATTTTGTCACCCACAGACCCTGCAGCCTGAAGAGACATCCAGTACTTCTCAACTCAATGAGTTGTTGATGTCTTCTCACACCTCGCTGGTGACCGAGATGCCACTTGATCAAGCACCAGGAGCCTCTGTAATTGAAGGTTCATTTCTAATCAATTTGGAAGGTAAGCAAGTCCAGCCATGATTTGATCGCACTGAGATTTTCTTTATTCTTTTTGAATAAACTCTAGTAAATATTTATTTATAATACGAAAAAATTATCTGTGATAACTGCCTGAACTTTCTTTATGGCAGATTTGTAGTCCAAGTCTTTACCTAATGCCTAGAGACAAATGTCCGCTGTAAAGACCTGTCTCACCGTCACACCATCTCTCCATTGGTGTCTAATCAGTGTATTCATTCTGTACTCTAATCTTGATCACCAATTTGCATCAACAGCTATTAGGCTTCTGCCTTGAGTAATATTATTATTGTAGAAGGGGGGTGGAGTAATACAACAGAATATAGTAAAGCAGCAACTTGTTTTGACCATCAACTTGAGAAAAATTGCGTGTCCAGTAAAATGTGGTGGAGGCAGGGGTGTAACTAGAAAGCACTGAGCCCCTCCCCCCCCCTCAGTGTGATTGTGTGTGTGGAGTTTGGTTGAACGTGAACCCATATTTCTTCTCCGCTTTTATCATTGCTGCCAATCAGAGCAGCACAGGTTAAATCGGCACACAATGTGGAGGCTGCTCTGTCTCCTGAACATCTACCCAGTGTATAAAGTGGGATAACGTGTGCTGTGAAGGGCAAGTCTGGAATTGAAAGTCAGTGTAATGTGATTGTGGCTCTCATAGCCTTGCATTGTAATCCTTAATCCTAATATGGCCCTACGTAGCCAGGACTTGGGCGCAATAACCTCTTTTGCAATTGTGGTTGCTCAGTCACTGGGTGGAGGTACAATTCCAAGTCCTACACCATCTTCACTAAGTATATTAAATGGAATACTAAACAATTTGTCTTTTTAGCATATCCGCCTGCTTGAACACTTAAATACACTCTGGTATGGATGCTGGATGTACATAAGGCACAATTTTCAAGAACACAATATTTGTTGCAAATTTCAAACTAATATGTGCAGACACTTCTTTTATCAGGTGGAGATATACGTGAAGAAGAGTCTTATAAAGTTATTATTCAGCAAAGTACCAAAGAACGCTGCCCACGCTGCAAGAAATTCACCACCACCTCCGCATTATCTCCTTGCCCCCGGTGTCTGGAAGCCATTGCAGGGAAATGGAGCCAGTAGCCTGACTTGCTGTTTCTACATGTGTATACCAAGTGCATTGGAAAAGAGATATAGCTACTGCTTGGGGTCAGCAACTTTTGAAGGGACAGATGGGCTACATGCTCAGTACAGATTAAAGACACATGGCATCAACGTTCCAAAAATGTAATTTTGAATAATTTAAAAACAAACAGCCATACATCTTCAATAATATATTGCATTTCTTGATTTGGGCAGTATTGAATGAAAAAAAACCAAAAAAAAAAACCCACCTTTTTCCTGAAAAGAATCAAGCTCTTTTATACACAGGATATTCTGAAAGAGGTGTCTGCTATTAAACTGGAAATATTATCGGGGGATGTGGGAGGGGAGAGTTACTCAAAGATTAGAGCAGTGACAATGTAATGCTCCACTGCTAGAGAAGTAATAGCAGGTTTGTAATATATACCATAATGCACTTCCAGTCTTCGCTCTGTGTGTACATCTTTAAAATATTTATAGTTTGGAGAAAGCTTGCACTTGGGTAATACCTTTATTATTTTGAAAGGTTTAAATGATGGGAAATGTTTTTTTCTTTTGTTTGTTTTTTTTACACTAAAAACTGAATAAAGGATTTATTTCTGAATGTAGGAATTTCTTGCTTTAATAAAATGGAACATCCAAACAAATACCATTTTTATAATTCATTCAAAGAGATGGTATGCTTCTACACATATCCTAGATACAGCAATATATCTGTGTAACCAAGTTAGCGAAATTATCCAATCGTTCCTTTATTAGTGGATGCCTACAGTAGTAATTCGTTCGTCAAAGAGCTCCCTCCCTATATTACAGGCCTAGATTAACAGGACCCTGCGTTTTCAATGTAGATTTCCCAAGCAACACGCTTCAGCAGGTAAGGCAAACAACCTGTCATGGGAATTGTGGAAAATGTTACTAAGGAATTGCAAATTTTAGGCATAAATGGTTAATTTGTGGATAAAGAAAGAAAACAAGAAAAAACAACCTTCATCTTTGTTTTGTTCTGGCCTAGAGGTTGGCAAGTATTGTCATGTCCCAGCCTAGTAAAAACAAAGCATTCTGTGATCTAAACCAGATCTTCAAAAACCTAATCCTGGTCTAATGTGGTAATAAAAAAACTGGACCATGACCATTGAGGACCCCTGGTCTAGCAGAAGAAGCTTTGTTAGTCTTTTCCACGGTTGAATAAAAGGAACCTATTAAGGAGGCAGCAGTGAGGGCATAGTCTGTACATCCAGAGACTTCATGCACCCTACGGAGAGTGTGAACAAATCTTAATTAGAAATCACCTCCTTATAATAGGCTGTAGCCCCGGTTAGTGGGTTTTTTGGACAAGGATGTGAAAATACCTTAAAGTTTCTAAAATAGATTATTCTTAGCCCATAACTGATAACTGGCTGCAACGCACAGGGAGATGTTAACTACAAATTTTAAGTTATACAAAACCTAATTTTCCATAAAGCTTTACAATATTTGCAGGCTTTAATCATTATAGTGATCATCTCACCTACACCATACTTGTCTAAGCTCCCTATAATGCATATTGTTTGTTCAACATGTGACGTAGGTGTTTATTCAGTATACTTTCTATATTTAGGTCACCTGTTGTTAATATGGTGGACAGATTTTTATTATCCACTTCGATATATTGTATATAATTTTTGTAACAATTCACATTGTCTTTCCCAATCCATGTGTAAGCATGTTAAAGTAGCAGAATGTCACCCTCTTCCCCTGTAAGGTACATTCTCTAAATCACAAAATAAAATTCCTAAATCTGCAGAGTAATTGTCCAAATATAAATTCAACTAGATATATTGGAAATAAATTAACCATGCACCAAAAGGCTCCGATCAAGAAATTTTAATACAAAAAGCAAATAATTTTTATATAACATTAAAGCACGCTGGCAGCTGGAATAATGACAGTGTTTTCTTTACTTAATGCGAATAATATTATTTAAACTTTGAACGGTTATTTTTTTTTAGGCAGCAAGTTTAATGCAGCATCTGTTTTACCCCCTCCAAAAGAAACTGAGGCTTACAAAGCCATCTATAAGCACAATTAGTCTGCCTGCCAACATCATTGATAAGAGCAGAGGAGTTCATTACCGTGCTGCTATGAGCTGAATGGTTCAACTGTATTCACGGTGGCAAATCACTCCTGAACTTTGTCGCACTGCAGGTATTAATCCTCAACCATTGGCGGCCACATACACACCAGTCGTTCAAGCTCAATGTAGTGTAGTGCTTAATGGTATGCATTGTTCTTTCTTTACATATTCTAAAAACAAAAACCAAAGCACTGGCAAGTTTAAAGGCAGAGCGTGACACTACTCTGCTAAACTAATCATCTCACACTGGACTTGACTTTTGGCATAACTGGGATCCAGCTGCCTCGTGGTATAAAGTTGTTGCAATGCCAGTAGCTTGTGGATTTTGTGTCCAATACTAGAAGTGATTTTATTGGTGTGTTCACGATTTAAGGTTGCATGAGTACACAAACCCATATGGAGCTCTGCCACATGAATAAACGCTATACATAGAGAATGTTAAAACATCCAGCCCCTTGAGCTGAACAAACAGGTTTTAAGATGCAGCAGGCAGTGTGCTCAGGGCAATACATGTCAACTGATATAAAAGGTGCTGCATAAAAATCTAGCCCCAACCACTGATTCATGCCTGATTGACTTACAATAAGGTCTATAGTCTTTTCATTTTACAGCTTTACTTACCTTTCCCTCGAGGTGGTGGTGGGAGGGAGGACTTTGGCCAATTCCATATAAGATGGATCTGGCTCGGTTTACATTTTAGGAATTTTGATTGCAAAAAAAAAAAAAAAACCTCAGATTTCTGCTTTCTGTCTACATTATATTTACATGTCTACGCGGTGTGATTAGAGCTGAACTGACTAATCACTGAGGTGATAATGCTGTTCGGGTTTAAATAATTTCTCAGCTGCCCCCTCTCTCTCCGAGACGCTCAGTGTTGGATTATTTTACGTGAAATGACACAGCATGGGTTCATTCAGTATTAGCGGGTTGTTAAACTACTCCAATCACACATTTAATATTGAAGTGTAAATCTATTGCACTGATTGTTATACATAGAGACTCTATAAATAAGTAGGGATTCTTCATGTAACACCTGTTCGTATCACATTGTAGTTGCATATCATTTAGTGACAGACTAAACATGTTCCAAGAGATGTAAATTGACAATTAACAATGAACGGTTTTAATTACAGATGCGACTAACACGAACATGATGGCTGCTTATTTAACAAAGCCCTGAAAGCCTAGATCCATAACCAATAAATGTTATATGTCTTGGAAAACACTAGCCATGCATCATGTGGGTATTGAAGAGGGGTCACAATAGAGACATGGCTTCAACCGCTTCTATCAGGTTTAACGCCAGCCCGTACTGGCCATGATTTTCAGGCAAGAGTTCTACCACTTTATCCACCAGTTTTGCGGTTGTTTTAATTGGCACTTCCGTGTTCTGAAGATCCTGAGGGTCCTGAAATGGACAAAACCAGACAGCAGCCTCATGTTAAAACTAAGTTTGTTAATATTTGGTACGTTTTAAACACAGTTGAGACTGTTGCAGTAACTTTGTTCTATGTAAAATGCCATTTTTAAGCGTGTTTTCCTTGAAATGAAAGTGGGTCTGTCATCTGAAATTTTACTTCCTAAATCAGTTTGAAGTAAGATTTACATTTTTTTTCCATCTTGGCAATAAAATTTTACTGTAACGGTACAATTTGTAAACCCTTTCAAAAGTTTTTTAGAGTTGGTGCTTCCAGCAACCTATAGAATCCTGTGATTTCCTGAAATGAGACTATTGGCATCCAGCCCAGACTTCCACTGTGCAGGGACGTGGAAATGTGCTGGAACTGTCTAGTGATACCATATATTATATGATTCTCAACTCAATAGAAAGCCAACTTCTAAACAGAATGTTTAATGGTACAAGCAAAATGTTCAATAACCGTTTAATGGTACAAACAGAGAGAACCATTGTTCTAGGCCATGTGTACAAGCTGCTATGCAGCATCCATACGCTTACCATAGCTTTGATCCAGGTACAGAGGGTTGGCGGAAGTCTAGCAAGTAGCTCCATCCCTTCCTTTGTTTGAGTATGTAGTAGCGCATATGCCAACCTCTGCCCCGTGAGAATCAGTAACTGAGACGCAAGCACTTCCTGGTCCATCACTTGGAGAATGGCCTAGCGGAAACACAACACTATAGAGTCAAACAAGGACCTCAATGATTAGTTATGAGAGAGATTTTGACCTCTGAGAATTTCCTACAGTTTTCAATACATTTCTGCAAGTTTCAATACATTCTTTTTGGAAGAAATAAATCAAAATTAACACAATGACACTTTCTAGATTTTACCAGTCCATCCATTGAATAAACTGGCCCATCTTTGTTACAATGTTCGAATTGTCTAACTCTAGATCACTTTCTATAACATGTTTTCAAACACCACCAATGTGACTGAAGTTATAGCCCCAGTCGAACACAAAATATCAATCCTGGAATCCTTAACAGTTGGCAATCATTAAGGGCTGATTTGAGAGAAACTATCTTTGATGATCTTAGCAGATGGCATTAATACATGCTTGATAATGCTTTATATTAATTTTATTAGTTACCTCTTCTGCAATGTGGTCAAAACCATAATTATACAGCTCGCATACATAGTGTCGCCATATTGTATCTTCATTTACTTGAAGATGTTTTGCCAGTTCTCTAGCCAGCCGGGGCCAGTTCACCTGTTTTTCAGGAATTTCAGGAGGTGATGCCTCTGACCCAACAGCATTCTGTGATTTCAACAATACCTGGACTGCAGCACTAACCATCTTCAATAAAAACTGTGGAATACGGAAGCAAACCGTTATATAGAGGCAAAAACAAATTACCAAGCTAACCTTATATGGCAAACAAAATTTAAGTGTTTATCAGGGTGGAATAATTGATCATCAAATGAAAGCAAATACAATTAAAATCTCTAATCCAGGAATTGATAGGCTAGCCTCAGGGATATTTGGTTAACTATTCTTAGCTGATGAATGTAATCGTTGGTTTTCAAATTCAATTACCTACTACAGTCAGTTTGCTCAGAGAAACATCTGTAGTATACTCCAGGGAGATATAATCTTAAAAAGACCACCTTAAAGTATTAAAGAGACAAATAGCAGAATGTCACCCCCTTCCCCTGTAAGGTACATTCCCTAAATCACAAAATAAATTTGAGACAACTTTTTAATTCAAAAGCTTTAGCTGTGAATGAGACAGTTGACCCACTCTGCAGGCTGAAAAAAAAAATCATGTAAATCTATTTTTTTCATGCTTATTTGCATCACAAAGATGCCCTGTGTCTGAAATTAGTGGGAGTGATCTGAAACGGAGGTGGATAAGAGGCTTCAGAAACTCCCCTAGCTGAGAGACGTGCCCAATAATGCAATCTGACCAGGTTTATTACATACATTGCTTTATTTTGGTATGTATATTTGTTCAAAAGGGTTTGCTTGTGGTTTAAAACAAAAATTGTCAAGTGATGCATGTCCTCTATTAGTAATCTTATAGATTACTAAACTAATTTATAGATTAATGCTGCCATGTTTTGATCAGGAAATAAACGTGTTCCCCTTGTTTTAGCTATTTGTTTTCATACAGATTACTAAAAATCAGTCTTACATGCACTGAAATGGCAAGCTCAAATTGTGATTACAATTTTGACACCCTTCTCAGTTAAAAGGCAAAACTAGATTTTTTTTCAACCTATGTAGAAATCTAACTCTAAATCAAAGTTTTCTACCAAGGGCATCTTCCACCGGTAGTGATGTAGGTGGGCTAACACAGAAGCAAAGATCTCTGATTTATTTTTCTCTTTGCTTGTCTAAGCAGTCAAAACCTAACCCAGCCATATTCAGAGTAAAGAAGGATTTTGTCTTAAAAGGAAACTGTCACTTCACAATATTTTTACTATTATACATTATTCAGGCACAAGCTTAAGACCACCTGACTAATCCCTCTCTGATGCGTCAAGGCATGGACACAAGACTTGAAGGTGTCCTCTGGTATCTGACACCAAGACATTAGCAGCAGA